TGTAAAGAGTGGAAGAAGATTTTGTACAAGGTTCCAAATTCAGAGGAATACAAAGAAATACATGATGACACTGGGGTCATGGAGATGCTAAAGCTGTTACCTTCTTCTAAAAAGCTTGTTTATATGTATGTATGCTCAGATAATGAAAAGACAATTGAATGTGCACAGAATGGACAATCATCTAAATGTGCAACAGAAGATGCAGTACAAAGTGTTGCAATCCCTCCAGAGGATGGAAATTTGAATAATGTTGAACAAAGCTCAAATGATGATGAGTATGTTCCATCTAATGATGAGTCTGATGACTATTCTAGTGAGGATGGACTCTCTGATGATAATTTGGGAACAGATGATGAGGAATACCTTGCTGCAAGGAGGGATAGGGTAATGTATAAGAAATCCAAAAAGGCTGAAGTTATTGAGGAAAGTTCAGTTGTTAGAGACTTGGAGTCTGATTATGAGGATTCTGATGGGTCAGTGAACACTGATTCACCTCTTTCTGGCCATGGACAGGTTGAAGATGATTCTACTGGGGTGTCTAATTCTAAGAAGAAGTTAGTAGTTTATGACCCTAAGTGTGATCACAACACTCTGAAGTTTGTGTTGGGTATGAGATTTGACAGTGTAATGCAGTTGAAAAATGCAATCCAAAAAACTGCAATACACAATCGGTGTAACATTCAATTCATGAGAACTAGTCAAAAGCAAGTTTAAGTAAGGTGTACTGACCCATGTCCATGGAGATTGTATGGCAGTTTGGTACAATCTGATGGTAGTTTGCCATCAAAAGGTTTGTGTCAGAGCATCAATGTTTTAGGGGCATTAGGACCAGACAAGCAACTTCTCAGTGGGTAGCAACTGAGTATTTGGAAAATTTCAGGAAACAGCCTAGTATAAAGGCCTCAGATATGCAGGAGCTCATTATGGACAAGTTTGGAGTACAACCATCCAAATGGAAATTGTATAGAGGGAAATACAACGCTCTTGAGATGCTTAATGGCTCTGAATCAGAACATTATGGGTGCCTCAGAAATTACATTGCTGAGCTGCAGAGGGTGGATAGAAATGGGAGATTTGAAGAAGAAGGACATGTTTTCAAGGCTTTCTTTATTGGCTTCAGTGCTTTAAGGGAAGGGTTTCTGCAAGGATGTAGGCTGCAATAATTGAATTTGATGGTTGTTTTCTAATGACATTTCTGGGAGGCGTGTTGTTGTGTGCAGTTGGAAAAGATGGGAACAACCAAATATATCCTTTGGCTTGGGCTGTTGTTGACTCAGAGAATGAACACAACTAGAGGTGGTTCTTGACTATACTGTTTCAAGAGCTTAGAATAGAGGATGGTTTGGGTTGGACATTCATTAGTGAACAACAAAAGGTTAGTACACCTCATGTTTGTTTCAATGTGCATTTATGTTCTATTTTTTCTAATTTACGTTCCATTTTCTACTTGTAGGGACTTATTGCAGCTATCAAAGAACTCACACCACATGCTGAGCACAGAAACTGTGCTAGACATGTGTATAGGAATGGGAAAAAAAAGTACCCAGGGAAAATATTGAAGGACCTATGTTGGAGAATAGTGCCCATCACATACCGGGTAGCCTACAAGGAAGCTGTTGATGAGTTGAATGTGGTTGATCCAGATGCATGTAAGGATTTACTTAACAAAGAAACCTTTAGATTTTGTAAGGCTTATATTGTAGAGTTACCCAAGTGTGATAAGGAGCTCGACATATAAAGAAACCTTTAGAGGAGTTATTTACACAGACGAGAGCTAAACTGTACATAACGATAAATAAAATTATAAGACAGGGATAAGGAGCTCGACATATAAAGAAATACAAAGATAAGACGAAAAACTAAATAGATACCACAGCGAAATGTCGCATGCAAAACCTAGCTCGCAGTTTGTTGTCACCTCCCTAGCAATCTGCCTCATTACCCGAAAAGATGGAGAGTATATATGATGACTGAACGGAAGCATCTTTGTGAGTAGCAAAGGCAGAGGGTTGCTGGATTGAGCTGCTGTGTGGCTCAGGAAAGGAAACTTTTTCGGCCGATGAGTCGCCTACCTCGGGCATTTTCCTTTTACGGGAGCCCAATAAGATGTTCTTTAAGAGGTCGCCACCCGACCTGGTGATGAGAGCGGGGGATTGCGTGAACCACTCGCGGTGGAGGGCTTTAGGCGAACCCTTTTCTTCTTTTGTTCATTTTTCTTGGTCGATATAGCACCGGACATGAATCTCTCTGAAAGAAATAACAAAAATGGGCATAAATACATAGATCGACAAGAAAATATAAAGTGTCGCACAAACATAAGATTAGGACTGTTAGTGGTTATACCTAAATCAAAGGGGCAACCTTTTTATAGGTCAGCCCGTAAAAAGAACGAAGCTTGGCTTGGGACGTGAGTTACCCTATATGATAGGGGACTTTATTCCACTCAGTCACTATGTCATCAAAGCGAGCTAGTTTTCTTGGTTCCACCTTTGAGTAGGAACTTTGGCTAGCCACTTCGAGCTAAAACTGAAGGTACCTACAGGGGGATTGAGAAGATGAATCAGGATTTCCAATGGGTAATTTTTGTAGAAATTTCTCTAAGGTAGACCGCTCGGTTGCAACCACTATGGTAGAACGACCCACGTTGTTTCTTAAGGTCATTGCAATAAAGAAATAATTCAAGATCTAACTTTTGAAAATGATAGTGACTGAGAATAGTATAACCCACTAGAATGCAGATAGAGTTAGGTGTGTAAGTTGGTTAATGGGAAATTGAAATAGCTCAAAGAGAAGGAGCAAATCAGGGCGAATGGAAAAGCGGAGACCACTAACTACTTGGTCGACGAAAAAAGTATAAAAACCAGGAGGAGCGGTTGTACGAGCTGCCAAAAGAAGAAGCTTGGAAGACCCAATCAGGAGGGAGCTACAACCTCATGAAAGCCTTTATTGCAGGTTCCTTGGTAGAAAATAAGGGATTAGGTCAAATTATTACCACAACACGAGAGGCTCGCTCTACGATGGGGTCGATGGGTTGGTCGAAATTTACTGTTACATGGGCTTGACGAGCACGTATCTCGGATTGAGGTAGAGGGATGCCCTATGGAGGATTATAAGGTAGCTCAAGGGAACTATTATCTACTATTTGGGTTAAGGAGTCCCAGGGGATGTCCCGGTCAGCTTCATCTATAAGGCGTAAGGTCGATCTTAAAGATTTAGCTCGGATGGGGTTGGATGTAAGAGTTAAGAAATCCTCAGAAGAGGAGCTCACACTAGATTGAGAGAGGTCGAAGGTCGAGAAAATATCTACTAAATTAAGAGAACCAGAAGTGGGATCTAAAAAAAAGGAGAGGAACAGAAACAACAACAAAACAACATACATACACATATACAAGTGAGAGCCAGAAACGCCAGTCGCAGGAAAATGCAAATACGGGAAAAGAAGAGAAAATGAAACAATGCGAATGAACATACAGAAAAATTTGAAAAAATACAAGAGAACGCTTACCCATGATAAACGAGGTAGTCGCAGGGAAGATAGCACGTGAGCGCCAAAGAATGGGAGAAGGTCGCCGGTAATTTCATAACGATTTTTGCTAAAATCAGGTTTGAAAATTCGGAGGCGTAAACATGTAAATGCAGAGGAAGGGGATTATTTATGTAAAGGAAAAAGAGGGATAGTCGTCCGATCAAAGAAGATCTAAGGGTTGGAAAATAAACCCTAGGTACAGAATTCGAGGGATTTAATACATTGGACAGATGAAAAGACAGGCACAACGTACGAGATACATCTCTTCGAGTGTAGGTACGATAAAGTATCGTGAAGGCGGGTTAGCAATCGTGCTATTATTATTATTGTAATTATCAAACAAGTATATTGAGATCGGAGAGCCATAGCTCGTTTAATAATGGGGGGCTAGATGATATAGCACATAAAAGTAGCTCAGTAAAATCGGTCAAGGCTAGCTCGGCTGATGAACCAAAGTTAGCTAGGTCGGCTGGTTTAGAAGCAACTCGCTAATATTTGATAGCTCGACACACAAGTAGCTAGGTCAAAGGCATTAGTACTTGTAGATCGGCACGGGAGTAGCTCGGCTTCCGTGAGGCTCGAAAGTATTAGTAGTTTGGCACATAAGTAGCTCGGACAGTGTGTGGCTCGGCTGGTAGGAGCTTGGAGTTGGACACAACACGACAAAGACATCATGTAGTAGGGAGCTGACCTACGGAGGTATCTTATGGCTGAAGACAGACCTATAACGGTGGTTATACACAGGTGTCCATAAGGGACACGTGTAAAGTCGGGATCAAAAGAGAAAGAAATGATCTGAAGAAAGAGAACAAAGTGTATTCAGAAAGCTAATAACTATCTATAAATAGGTAAAATTGGGGAAAATGTAAGGTTAATTAAACTCTATACTCTAAGCTATTGCATATAGTTCAATATAGTTTTCCATAACCCTTTACTGACTTGATCGTCGGAGGTTTAAGGCTGAGGACACCTCCCGGTGTCTTTCTAGGTCTCCAAGGAGCAAGTTGGATGAGGACCGTTGGAGAGCCGGTTCAAGGTGCGAAAACACATCAACATTGAGACATAATGGTATGTAGTGTTAGCAAGTTTCGATGAATTCACCTGGACAATAAAAACCCAAAATTGGGAGGCGAAAATAAATACCACACAGCATTCCTTAGAGAAAAAACTACTTATATCTAACCAAAAGAGTATTAAGAAAACACACACCAATGCTTAGAGAAAAATCTACTTATATTCAACACAACCACATCTACTTATATCAACTCAAAGAGTATTGAGAAAATACGCAAGATAATACACAACCCAAAGAGTATTAAGAAACTACACCCACATAAGGGAAANCATCTTTAAAAATGATACAGCATATTTTTTTTCAAATCAAAGAAATTAAATTAATCTCAGACAGAGAGTACAACCGGGTAGCCGAATGACTACTACAAATTCCTCCCGACAACACAAATTACAGGAATCCTTAATCGGGAAAATAACACACTATTTCCCCTCTACAGCCCCCCTTGGCTAACGCTACACTAGAAGAGACTAAAGAAGAAGAAAACATGAAAATACAACGGGAAAACAGACTGGATAAAGCATAAATATCATCTGCCAACACTCCATAGGAACTATTGAAGGAAGAATTGCTGCAAAGTTTTCCAGTCAGGGTCTTGTCATCCAAGCAGCAGTATATATCCAAGCACTTTGCCTTCCAAGTCTTCTGTAATGCCCATCTGATAGCCAACAGCCTTCCTTCTTCCATAGTTCCTTCAAATTCCACAGCCTCATACCATTGTTGGACAGGAGAATTACCTTTGAGCAGCTCACCACCCATTCCAAGCTAGCCTTTGATGTGAAATACAGCACTGACAGCTACAACAAGCTTCCCTACTCCCAAATGAAGATCTCTCAACAAATCTGGTTGTTTGCACTTGCTTATGACCCTTGTATTCAGACTTTGGTGCCCATTTTCTATAAATTCTTCCCACTCCTCTCTGATACCCTTAGCAATCACTGTTTCAGGAGTCCATTTCTTTTCAAACATCCACATGTTTTTTTCTTCCAGAGCCACCACAACAGGTAACAAGACAAGCTGAGTCTTTCTTCAAAATACCCCCCCTTTACCCACAGTGCAAAGCTCAAACCACCAGTTAGAAAAATATACCACATCCATTTGAATTCTGTTTCAGTCCAGTCCCACCAATTTCCAACAAGTTATTGCTCTGGGGCATCTAAACAGCAAGTGTTTAATATCCTCATTCTCTTCCCCACATACATGACACCTTTCATCACATTCTACCCTTCTTTTAGATAACTGCTTGCCTGTGCTTAGGAATCCATACCAACACTTCCACAAAAAAATTTTGATTTTTTCTTTTTTTGTTGATTGGTAGGCCCAAAGTTACACTATTCAAACATTCAAACGACAACTATTTTAGATTATTAAATTTCCGCTCAATTCGAATTCTTAGAAGACGATCGATATATAAATTGGATGCGTTGTCCTCCTCAGTTCATCTACTAAATTATTATTCAATTAGTTGACCTTGTCACATGGCATCTAAAAATAACCTGAAATTTGTTGGAACGAGATTGAAAAAATATGAACCTCTCGATTCACGGTCAATTTTTTTCCATTTTTTTTTTCCGGATCAAGTCTCGGGTAATCTTAACTAATATGCATGAACTAATAATAATAATATTAATATTAAAAATAACAATGTCACTAACAATATTACTAGTATCACACCATGCATACAACAAACAAGAGATGCCACAAACTTATCATTCCAATTAAATTGCAAACAAAAACAAAAGAAGTGTCCAGAAGACTTGTTATTTTAGAAAACGAAATGTAGGAAGGGATGCATAAATATTGTTGCTCAACACTACTGTAGTCCACACTACTGCAAAGCGCACCAATCAAAAGCATTTCGTTGTTAGGAAAAAATAAAAAAAAATTATTAGTGGTAATGGATGAAAATTTGAATTGAGTTTTCTCAACTCGTCTAGATCATATTATGCAGTTGTTCTTTAAATGAAAATATGTACTTACATGGTAGGAATAAGAAGTTCAGGATAGATTTTACGAATGATCTCGACAATTTCAGAGTGGTGTGCGACCCTCTTCACAGTAAGATACCTTCCGTTGGCAGAAGGATTTTCAAAAGCACATACCATTTCTAATACAAAGTTTCCACACGAGGAAGGTAATAAATTGGACATCTCCATTATCTTTAGTTAAGAAGGAAGTTTCATAGCCATATTATTGTTTCAGGAAATTCAAATATTTTCATTTAAATTCGAAGGCATATAAATAAAAATATAATATTTTATATAAAATTGAACATTTTTTTGTACAATTGGAATTAAAGTATAATTACCTTGGCATTTTTGCACCACTCGGGGTCGGGCCACCAAGTCTCATCAATAATTGTTTCAGGCCGCGAGGTGTATCATTGCACGCGACTGAAGCAATGGATGAGGTGAGGACAACCCTCTTGACCGATGGTGCTTTGGCCACTGACCGGAGAACATTCAGTGTTCCCTTCAATGTCGGATCAATTAGCTCCGCCTGACAAAAAATGTGGGAGTTGTTTGTTGTGCTTTTGTCGTGTTTTTTATGTGTTTTCCGTGCTTTAGTCGAGTCTTTTTAGATTCATTTTAGAATTGACCATTCTATTTTATCGTATTTTGTGTATTTTTTGCATTCATCGTGTGTTTTTGTATTTTGGTGTTGATTAGGTCCATATTGCGAAGTTTGGGAAGACGGGCCATTGACGAGCAAATGCCGAGCCATCTCGAGATCCGTTTGAAACATGGTCGAGCCATTCGAGCCGTCCCGAGTCATTTTCGAGTCAAAGCACCGCGCCTGTCTGTGCGATCGGGCCCGAGAGTACCCGCGCCAGACCTAATCGGCACTCACAGCGAAGGGCAGCCCGCGTGCCTCCGAGATGCGCACCCAGTGCTCGCCAGCGAAATCCCGTATGCGAGCACGCGAGTCACGCCAGTCTATCGCCCAGCGCTCGCCAACGAACTTGAATCCGCGACCACGCGAGGCACATTTAGTGCGAGACACTGCCAGCACACACTTGCTGCGAGATTTATCTCGCGAGCGCGTGATTGCGACCCCTGTCGACCCGTGCCACTCGCAGCGAACTCCTACTTGCGCCCGCGCGAGACACACCAGGCACACACTCGCAGCGAAATTGATTTCGAGACCTGGCGAACAGCAAAATTCATTAAAAGTGTGTGTTTTAATGTGTGTTTTTGGGGCACTAGTATAAATATGTTTCTTCCCTTTGTAGTTGGGAGCTAGACTTCATTTTTTCTGTTTTCCCCTATTGGGAAAGGTTCTCCCTTCTATTTTTCTCTATATTTTGTGTTAGAGCTCTATGACTCGAATTTTTCGGCTATTTTCTATTTATTTTATTTTTATGCAAGTTTCAAGCTTTTCACTTCGATTTTTATCGAGCACGCAATAGGAGAGTGCTACTCACTTTTAAGCCTCATTACACCGTATTTGTTATGTTTTTTCTTATAAAGTTTTTCAAGGTAAATTTGGGTGTTTGCTTGTTGAATGGGGAAAGTTTGGAGCTTTTTATTTTCATTGCTTGCCTAAGTGATTATAGGAGTTGAATACTTGTTTATCTAGTTTTAAGGTTTGAGACTTTGGTTAAAGTATTTAGGTTAAGAAAGCTTGTGTTAATTACCTAGGAACTTGGTGTTAGCATATTTCTCTTAGTTCGTTTGCATTTTTCTCGAGTTGTAGACTCCGATGACTCAAAATTCCCATCTTTTCTCTTATAGCTCTCGTCTTTCTTTACTTTCTTTCAATTGCTCTCAATTCCTAGTTTAAATTAGCCTTAATTCAACCCCATCATCATGATTAGTATGTTTAGGACTTTATTTGCTCTTTTTGTGAATTCCGTTTATTTCAAAGTCACGCCATACTATTAGTAATAGTGAAGATAGTAATAGTGAAGAAGATTCATATGCTTGTTATGACTTATCCGACGTGTCATCTTAATGATTATTTTGATGGGTGGTCGTTCTCGCTTTCCTCTCTTTACTGGTTATTACTCATCCTTTCTAGCTCCCTCATAATACTAAATAGTATACTAAGCTTGGAGACCGCAAACATCAATTGCCACACCCCCCTCCCCCCTAAAAAAAAAAATAGTAATAAATAAGCAGTGGCGGACGTATGTGTATGTTGGGGGGGCCATTGTCTCCCCCATGATTTATAATTTTTAGTATATACATATGATAAGTATATCATTTTTCATATAAACTAACACAATTATATTAAAATAGTAATTATATTACTCTTTCTATTAATAATTCAACTATAATTATACTTTTTTTACACTTTTGTACAACATTTTTTCTAATTTAAATAAATTAAATGTATGGTAAATATGTGAAAACATAAAAATTGGTAATTTTTTAAAAAGAAGACATATAAGATATGCTTAATGGAAAGAAAAAATTTCAAAACTATTAATATTGAGCCAATCATTTATGAAATTCATGAGTTGAGAGAGTGTTTAATGTAAATTTGTTAATGTCAAGGTTTGGAACTTTATAATTTATATTGTACTATTATTATGTATAATTTTATAATATTACTTTCTATTTTTTATGTACATTAAATTAAATTTACGATAATTAAAAAATATATAGTCCCCTTCAAAATAAATTTCTGGATCCGCCCTTGTAAATAAGAAATTGCATGAACTTAGATCAATCAAATAAGGAAAGCATATGTACAAAAACATATCCCCCGTGTTATCCTCGAGATTGAGAAAGACCATAATACCCGTAATTTGATTCGCGATCAACTCCTCAATATCTTGAAATAAAAAAAGGTTTGGAGAGAAGGATTGGAAAACAATCCTTCGATGTGAACAGGTGCTCAGGCACCAATAAAATACTGGTTGAAGACCAGGATGAGAAGACAATGAAATTGGATTCGATGAATTAAGATGGATTGTGAAGTCCATCGAGAAGGGGCCTCAATAATCTATAAATCAGAAATTCAATCTTAATAATATCTTAACCACAAAGTAAATTACTTCTTTTAAATTTGAACAGAAAGAAAATTCTAAAAGAACATAGACTTCTTCATAAGTATTCGAAGTATTCCCGGAACTGAGACTAAGTCTAAATCAAATTGATAATTAATTAGTAAGCGAAGCTCCGAATTATCTTCCTTTGAGAGACGACCCAAGTTCAGATAACTCGGTTATCAACCTATCCCGCTAGAATTAACCAAACAACATGGTTTCCTCCAGTGAGCACGATGTCTCTGATGAGATACCCCAGGGCTCATGTTTCATTCCTATCGCTATTCCCTAGACCGGATCTGAGGAAGCAACCACTGTTTTTGTCTATGAGAGTGAGCACTTGATGGTGCATGCTGCCAGTGACGTTTCCCTACACCCTACCGAGGACGCCCATGTCCCGCCACCTGGACCTTCTCCCTCATCCACTCCTGAGATTGCCTGCACTCTTAACCGGGCTCAGCCTTTTTTCAATGCTCAAGAGTAGGGAGAGCAGCCTCGAAGACCTCTCTCTAAGAGCTCCGACCGTAGCCAACCTCGCACCAGATCTAGGACTGCGTAGCGCTCAGCTAGTCGGACCTCATCTTACCCTGTTAGGTCGATTCAGCCTAGCCACAGGCGGAACAAGCTCAGTGGCACCACTGACATTTGATATGTCGGCCACATCACTAACTTGGAATATCTGTGGCCTGGCAAATAGGGCCACCATTGTACATATTAACTCCCTGGTCCGAAACCATAGGCTCGATTTCGCAGCTTTTATTGAGCC